ACAAACAGGCAAATGAGTTGAAAAGACAGTTCCGGAAAGAAGTACAAATGGCCAATAAATACACGAAGAAACATTCAACATCCTTACCCATAAAGGAAATGCAAATCAAAACAACACTGAGATTCCATCGCCAAGTCAGAATGGCTGTCACCAAGAAAACAAACAAAAGCAAATGCCAGCAAGAGTGCAGGGAGGGGAGAGAGGGACCCTTATACACTATTGTTTAGAATTTAAATTATGCAGTCACTATGGAAATCGGTATGAAGTTCCTCAAAAAACTAAAAATAGAATTACCATATGATTCTTCTATACCACTCTGGGCACACATCCAAAGGAATGTCAGCCAGCACACAACAGAGATACTGGCACACCCATGTTTATAGCAGCACTATTCACAAATACAGCCAAGCTACAGAATCAGCCCAAGTAGTCATCAATTAATAAGTAGATTTAAAAAAAAAAATGTAGTATAGGGCTGACAGAGTGGCTCAACTGGAAGAGTGTCTGCCTAACAAGCGTGAGGCCCTGCGCTCAAACCCCAGTACACCAAAATAAAGAAAAAGAAAACGCAGTCTATACACACAGTGGAGTATTATTTAGACATAAAAATGAAATTAAGTCATTTGTAGGAAAATAGATGGAGCTAAAGATCATCATTTTAAGTCAAAAAACCCAGACTAAGAAAAACAAATACTGCATGTTCTTTCTCATACGCAGATACTACACTTGAAACAAATAAAAGACAGGAATGTTAAATGGGTACTACTTGGGGGTAGAAACCAACAGGAGCGGGGAGTGTAAGAGGATGAAGGGGTGGGAGTTGAGTATGATTGAAGTACTTTACATATAAGTATGAAAATAGAATAATGGAACCTGTTAAAATTGTTTTAAAAAGGTGGGACCAGAAAGAATAATTGAGGGGGTGAATTTGGTCAAATACATTATATGCATTATGGAAATATCACAATGAAACCCTTTTGTAAAATTAATATATGCTAATTTTAAAATCAGCTACAAATAATTCCATACACAATAGTAAGCAATAATTATAATAGCCATCTAAAACCTCTGACTAAACCTAACAAAAGAAATATAAAAGTAATGCAGGTGTGAATTATAGCCTTAAAAAAGCCATAACCAAAAACAGAGGTAACACAGGAAATATATATACTTAGAAAGAAATGATGCAAAATTTTGATACATATCCTTCAAAATGTTTTTAAATAAAAAAGAATTATACTAGGCACACTATTATGAAATCTGCTTTTTTTGGGTGTACATGATATGGAGACTATTTTTCTCAATTCAAAGAACATTAAAAATCACTATTAATGGTTTAAAAAAATCTTTGAAAACTGCTTCTGCTTAGAGAACTTGAATGTGGCCTCTAGAATGTGTTCACAGCCTTGCCTGGTATCACCACTGGCCAACCGTCTCAAGCATCCATACTTCTTATGGCTGCCAAGCACATAGACGCTGGAGTCAGAGTCTGAACTTCCAGGTCTTCCACTAATTAACTGTGACTCTGGGTTACTTCACATCTCTAAGCCTACCTCCTCACTTCAGAGAGCAGTGTGGTATTTCACCTGTAAGATGAGGATAATGGTATCTTCCAAGGGCAGCATGTACAATACCTGAAATAATGCTCTTAATATGCCTAGCCCAGTGCTCTGCACAGTAAATATGTATAGTCTTCACAAGGTTGGCTCAGATCATACCATCAATGTCACCTCCGCAGGGAGGCATTTGTCTTTGCACCCTTTTTATCTCCTTCTTAGAACTTGAAGCTTTATTCTTTTGCCTCTTTGTCCCTTCCTTTTTGAATATTCCCTCTACTAAGCTGAGGTCTCCGGGATGGCAAAGACCTTGGCTTTTTTCCTTATTGTCTTTGCAAGGCCAGGCCCCATGTCAGGCAAGTAACATGCTGGCAACATACATTTGCTGAGGAAAACAGCAGGAACAGCTCTAGCATGTAGCTTTTCTGGCACTAGTATGTCTTCGGCTGTCTCTTGTGTATCTGATTACATCCTTCCGGTCTTTGCCCTCCCCAGTGGTCCAGAGCCACCCCCCATATGAGCAATAAATAACGATAAAGTTGATCTAGTTCAGAGGATGGAATGAACTTGGATGAGCTTGGGGATGTGGCTGAGGAAGTAGGTTCCCAAAGTGAGTGGAGCAGTGAGGGGGTAAATGGTTGGGAAGGGGAAGAGGCTGGAGAACTGAGGAGTCTGGATGTCAACAAAGAACCAACTTCAGTTGAATTACCAGAATGGCTGTTCACATGGAGTGGAGAATAAAAAAGGAGACATTCACTGCCATAGGTACGCCTTCTCTTACTGGAGGATAAGGTTAAATGTGCCGGTTGAAATAATCTTTATGTATTTTATGCATGCTTGCTCTGAAAATTGGAGCTGAATATAATTGCAGCATTTTGCATTAATTAAATTTCTTTTACCTTCCATACAATTAGGGCTTGAACTTGCTAAGTAAATCTATGCAAATAAATATGCAAATGAGCAAGGCCCTCACCCTTAATTTTAAGGGAACCGGAGCACTTTCTAGGTCCAGGCCTCAGGGATTAAATATAAGTGGTCTCTAAGAATACTTAATTTTCTCTGAAGGAGCTGGAGCAGATATTCTTTGGCATTTACCTCTTATTAACTATTAAGTTAACCTATTAAGTTAACTTCTCATTTGTTCACTTTGGTAACTTGCTTTCTGGATCTGATAATCTTTTTTACTGATTTTTACTCGCCTGCCTGAAGACAAGGTAAACTCCTCAACCCTCATGTAACTTTACCAACAAAAACAGGCCCTACATCAAAACACTTCACTACTATCACATCCTTTCTTCTGTCTTCCTCTTTCAAAGCAGGCACACAAACAGGACAGACATGGTTTTCCCAACATGGGACTAAGCACCTCACTATGCGCCTCTGGACAAGCCACTAATTCTTTCTGATTAGCCTCCCCAAATAGGAAAGGAAACAGTAAAACAATCACCAAAGTTCTTTCTAGTTTTAATAATTAAATAAAAACTAAGCAGAGCACCAGCATCCCTGTCAGGTCAGGTGGGGAGAATACCACAACTATTCAGGCTGCTCTTACATGTATCATGGGGTCAGGAGAAACTTAAAGTAGTAAGAAAATGCTCTTTTTTGCACCCAAAAGATCTAACATGCCAACCTGTTACTTGAGCAAAATTCCTTAACTTCTCTAAACCTGATTCTCCATTTTTAAAGAGACTTTATACTGTGTAGAATTGTTAAGAGCCAAAAATAAATGGTACCTCTAGTACTCAAAAAAAAAAAACCACCAAGATAGTTTCTCAGTCAACTTAGGGGCACTTCCAAAGGCACTCCTCTGAATTTCTGGAGACTTCAGCATTGGTCCCCAAAACAGGAGACCAAGCAACAAGGGTGAGAAAGCATCCAGAACCAAGACTGTCTTCCTAAATTCTACCTCAGGTGCTGCCTCTCAGCCTTTCAACAAGTCACCACCTGGTGAGCACCAAATGTGCTGCATACTCTGCTAGGCTAAGAGGCCCCTACAAAGCACTCTGCATGTTCTCCCACACCTCTTCATCTTCTAGGCAGCACCTAAGATTATCTCACAACTTTTTTCATGTGGCAACTGAGGCTCAGGAGACAAGTTATTCACCCAGGTTCACACAGCTAATGAGCCTAAAAGTCAGACTTTCTGAAGTCTTTTTCTGCACCACCTCCCTACTTAATTCTCCTACACCCAACTTTGCATTTCATTTAAACTTGGTTAATTTTAAGGGGTTCATTCATTTAATCACTCAACAATTATTGACAAAGCACCCACAATGGGCCACACACAGGAATAAGAGGAAATACAGTTCAACAAACAGCCCTGGAATTGACTTATTTCAATCCCCATTCTCCCACTTGTTACTTATGCGACTGACCTCTGATAATTTCACTTCAGCACCCTCAGTTCTCCTTAATCAGTGACATAGGGTAAGAGTTCTACTTCTCTTGCAGGTCTATTGAAAATTAAATACCATTTGTAAAAGGTTTAGCACAACACACGGCCACCACTACATGCTGAAATATGAGCTGCTTTTATTATTCTTCGAGGTTCTGGAGACAGTCAGGACTCACAGGAGAACCTCAGCCCCGGAGTTCACACTCAGAAACATGTCAACTCAATGCGAGTTTCAAACTGTGGTGAGTGCGGCAGCGGGGTGGGAAGCGACTTTAGACACATGTGGGCCGTAACAGGAATGACAAGAGTCAGATATGAAGAAAAGGGGTGAGGGAAGCGGAATCAGCCTGCAGCAAGCTGGTGGTTTGTTCGAGGAAGGACAAGTGGCCCTGAGGCTAGCGAACAGGCAGGAGGAGGTGGGGAGGGGAGAGAAATGCTCTGACACCCTGGCAGAGGTCAGCAGACCGCGGGACAGCTTTGTAACCAAGTGAGGCGTTCCTGGCCCTTAGGCAGGCTAGGAATCCGTGGGATCCAAGCAAGGGGAAGGGAATGCGATCTAAAGTACCGTTCCCAAAGCGCCCCTAGGCTGCGCCCCGGAGAGCAAGAGTGTCCGCGGAGCGAAAGTGGGGAGCCCCATCCAGGACCGAGGCAGGTGGTACACAGGACGAGACGCGCACACTTGGGGGCGAGGGTCACCGGGAGGTGGCGGGGGGTGGGGGGGGCAGGACAAACTCAGGAATTGTAAAAGCCAAGCGGACCGGCGCTGTGTATGGTCCCGGGCTTCGCTCCGGTGCTAGCGGCCTCCCACCTGTCCCGTCCTCCATTCCCCCATTCCTCCCCCTGAAGCCTGTGGTGCTGAAGCCTGAAGACTGCAGCCCTAGGTTCGTGACCTGGCGCGGAGAGACCCCGACACCTGCAGAGCCTCACGACCCCTGGTGCAGCGGCAACCCCACGAGCGCGGCGCGGCGCACACGCTCCAGCCGCAGCCCCACTCCGGCCGGGTCCGCGCCCTCCACGTCCGGCCAGGTCCCGGCGGCGGCGCCGCTCACCCGGATGCCCTGCAGCACCCGGACCCGCTCCTCCTCGTCCATCCCGAAGGACACCCTGCGGCTCTCGCTGCTCTCGGCGCTCCCCATGGCAGGAGGCGGGCAGCCACGCCACCGGCTCCAGAGCAACCAAGCAGACGCCGCGCGGCGCGCGACACGCGCGGACTCGGGCGGCTGAAGCACAAGCCAACAAAACCACGTCCTATTGGCCGCCGCTGGAGGTTCAGCCAATCAGACGACTCGGAGCTGCGGTGTCTTGTGGGGATTGTAGTCCGCCTTCTGGACGCCCTACTGCACGCCGGGAGTGCGGCGGGGGCGTGGTGCTCTGAAGCTCTGAGCGAGTCCGGGCGGGAGAGACTGAATGGCAGGCTAAGGAGCGGGGGAGGCGTGGACGAGTGAACACTTGGAAAGGTCACCTTGAAACCGAGGCTGAAGCCAAAGCGATGTTCTGAGGGCGAGGAGGTTCATGGCTTCATTCAGCAAACACGTCTTGAGCAGCACTCACTAAGCGCCAGGCAAACACTGACCCACCTGGGGCTGGCGAGGAGAGAGCGCCCTGCCATTCTGAGGTTTACAATGTCGTGGAGGAAACAAGTCAAAAAGCCAGCAAGTAAGTAAGTAAACTCATTGCGAGAAATGGAAACTGCACCATAATGCCAGGAGAAAAATTAATAGACGAGAAATTACTTTGAGAGGCCAGAGCAACCTCTCGCAGGAAGAAGCATTTGAATTGAGACCTGAGGATGAACGGGAGTTGGCCAGGAGAAGTAGGGAAGAGCTCTCCCTGGACCCAGCAAGTGCAAAGGCCCTGAGACAGGAAAGAGAAAGATGGACTGTCGCATGGCTGGAAAGTCAGAAGGGAACAGGGGAGCAGGAGGGTCCAGATCTTGTGGGGTCTTGTAAGACAGGGTCATCGTTTGGGTTTTATTATCCGTACATACCCCATATGTGGTGCACATTTTATGGTATACATGAAAATGCAGAAATGCAAATGATTGCTGGTCACAACTATTGTTGAATGCCTTTTTTTTTTCCTTTCAATTTGTTTTTTTTTGTTTTTATTATTTCTTTTATTCATATGTGCATACAATGTTTGGGTCATTTCTCCCCCCTTCCCCCACCCCCTCCTTTCTCCACTCCCCCTCCCTTTTCCCCTGCCCCCTTCCTCTCCCCCCTACCCACTTACTTCCAGGCAGAAACTGTTTGTTGAATGCCTTTGATTTGCCAAAGTGAACTTGAAGCTGAGTTTGGAGTCTGGAGCTGGGGAATACTGGATTGCTCCATGAAATAGCAAGAAATATTTGGACCTCCTTATGGCACCCTAGAAAGAAAGGGGTGAGGAGCAGAGAGTGAATGAGAGACCAGTGAGATGCTCTGAGACTGAGAATGACCCAGGGTGAGAAGCCAGTGGACATTTTAGAGGTGGGTGGCCCAAGATTTTTAGGTACAAATAAAATCTGCTTGTTTTATTCAAAAGACTCTGATTTGCAAGTACTTCTCCGTTTCATCCCTATAATCAGTGCCTGTGTAGAGGATTCTAGTGCAAATGGGAGAGTACCTCAGGAGAAAAGAAAGAAGGGAAGCAGGACAAGGCCTCTCATTGGGCCTCACCTCTTTAGGTCAGTGAGGGTATGTCCTTAATGGGGAAAGAGGGACCCTAGCCCTTTCTTCCTCTCTTTGGCTTCCCAGCCATAATGTGTTTTTACTTTGCCATACCTTCTGCATGGTGATGTATTACCTCTTTACAGGCCCCAAAGCAGTAGTGGACTAAAACTTGCAAAACTATGCCAAAACAAACTTTTTCACTTTTTAATTTGATAATCTCAGGTATTGGTTATAGTGACAGAAAACTGACTAACACACTATCTGAAAAAGAAAGGAAGAAAATGATGTCACAACAGCATCAAAAAATACGTTCTTAGGAATAAATTTAAACAAGGAGGAGAAAGAGCTGTACACTGAAAACTATGAAACATTGATGAAGGATATTGTAGAAGACACAGATTGGATTGCAAGAGTAATATTGTTAAAATTTCATACTACTTAAAGCAGTCTACAGATGCAATGCAATCACCATCAAGATTCCAATGGTATCTTTCACAGAAATAGAAAAAACAATCCAAAAACTCCATATGGAGCCACAAAAGACCCCAAATTCCAAAGCTATTTGATAGAGAATCAAACTGGAGGCATCACACTCCCTCATTTCAAACTATTAAACAGCTAAAATAATCAAAAAAATGTGACATATAGACTAATGGGGACAAAATAGAAAGCCTGAAAATAAACTCAAGTATGTGTGGTCAACTAATCTTTGACAAGTGTACCAGGAAACACAGCAATAGAAAAAGGGAAGTCTTATGTTGGGAAAATATATCCATATGCAAAAGAATGTAATTAGACCCTTTCTTATGCCACATACAGAAATCAACTAAATATGGGTTAAAGACTTAAATGTATCATCTAAAACCATAAAACCCTAAAAGAACACCAAAGAAAGACTGCTTAACACTGGTCTTGGTAGGAATTTTTTTAGGTATAACACCAAAAGCACAGGTAGCCAAAGCAAAAAATGAACAAGTGAAACTACATTAAGGTAAAAAGTTTTTCCACAGCAAACAATCAACAGTAAAAATGCAACCTAAGGAATGAAAGAAAATATTTGCCAACCATGTTTATGATAAAGGGTTAATAATATCCAAGATACTAACTCAATAGCAAAAATAAATAACCCAATATAAAAATGTGCAAATGAATGTAATAGACATTTTTCCAAAAAAGTCATACAAATGGCTTATAGGTATTTGAAAAGGTGCTCAACATCCACAGAGAAATGCAAATCAAAACCACAATTTCTCAAGGCACCTGTGGCTCACGCCTGTAATCCTGGTTACTTGGGACGCAGAGATCAGGAGGATCATGGTTTGAAGCCATCCCAGGCAAATAGTTTGAGAGACCCTATCTCAAAAAAAACCCAACACAAAACAGGGCTGGCAGAGTGATTCTCTGTGGTAGAGCACCTACCTACCAAGCATGAGGAACTGAGTTCAAACTCCAGTATACTCCCCCAAAAAAACACAGTATCACCTCACTTAGGCTAGGATAACAGTTATCAAAAAGATAAAAGATAACAATTATTGGCAAAGATGTGGAGAAAAGGATGCCCTTGTACAGTGTTGATAGAAAGCTAAATTGGTATGACCATTGGTGAAGATAGCATAGAGATTCCTCAAAAATGTAAATATGACCCAGCAATTCCAGTTCAGGGTATACATATCCAAAGAAAATATATCCAGTATCTCAAAGAAAGAGCCGCACACCATGTTCATTACAGCACTATTCACAAAAGCCAAGTATGGGTCAGCCTACGTGTCCCATCAATGGAAGGATGGATGAAGAAATGTGAGATGTGTATTTACATATATATTACAAAATAATCATGCAGCCATAAAAATTAAGTCATGCTGCTGCCATTTGTGACAACATGAATGAACCTAGAGGGCATTGTGTGATGAAGTAAGCCAGACATGGAAACATAAAAACACATACCATATGATCTCACTTACATATAGAGTCTTAAAAAAGAGTTGAACTCATAGGAGCAGAGAGTAGAATGGTGGCTACTGGGATGGGGAATGGGGCTGGCGTAAATAGGGAGATGTTGGTCAGAAAGAATAATCTTCAGTTATAGGATGAGCAAGTCTGAGATCTAATTATAGCATGGGTGGTGAATGGTGTGTTGATTAACCTGTGAAAAACATTACACAATGTACAATATCTCGCCAACACATTGTACACCTGGAGTATATATGATCCTTGTCAAATAATTTTAAAAGTTAGAGTCACAGACTTTTCATCATATGATAAATAAGTTCTGAGAATCTAACGTAGAGCATAGTGACTGTAGTTAATACCATCTTGTATGCTTGAAATTTACTATGGGTAGATCATAAATGCACACACAGTGGTAACATTGAGGTGATGGAACTCAAGAGATAACTAACTTACTTGTGATGATTACTTCATGAAGCATACACACATCAAATCATCACACTGTACACCTTAAATGTATACAGTTTTATTTGTCAATTACTCCTCAATAAATGAGAAAAAATGTGGTTAAAGCTGGGACCAGTTCTGGCTGTAATTTATGCTCCAGAGCTCCCGAGGCACCAAGCTGAAGCCAGTCTCCAGCCTGACCACTTCATGTCAATCAGCCAGCCATTGGCAGACAAGGACAATTCCCCAGAGTAGGGGAACTCTGTGAACTGTCACCATCTCCATAGCAGTGAAAACCGAGTCCACCTAGACTCTACACAGCATCCACTACATGCTCTGAATATTTTCAAAGTCTCCTTGACACCTGAGTGGCTTCTATGATTATCAACAGGGTTGTAAAAATTGAGGAGAAGATGATTTTACTTCTGGTCAGGTGATGAAATAATTAATTAAGACAGAGACAAGCCAAGAGTGACCATGAGACTGGGTGTGACCACACCCCCACTGTGGAAAATCCTCAGGGAGTCTTGGGATTCCACAAGACTTACAGTGGGGATTATACTGAACAGCAGCATAGGTGAGGCACATGACATCCCCATAAGTGCTGTATCGCCATTTCACAGATGGAAAAACGGAGGCGCAAACAGGTGAAGATAATGGAACATTACAAATCAAAACTAGAATGAGGACTTTTCCCCCCATTCTAGGGGTGGAACCCAGGGCCTAACACATGCTAGACAAACACTCTGCCACTGAGCCCAGAAGAAGGGTTTGAATAAAGACAGTGATAGGAATGCAGAGGAAGGGAAAATCATTACACACTTTTGTCAATTCATGGTCTCTTCAAAATCACCCCAAGAGTGTCATTACCCTAACTCCCCCAGGAAACTGAAGATGTAGGGGAGGTAGGATGTTCTGTCGTGTCCACTGGTGGCTGCCCAGCACCCATCCCCCTTCCTTACAACAGAACCCCAATTTCTGTGAGTACAACTGTGTGCCCAGGTAGGAAAAAAAGGCCTCCTGCTTCCCACTGATCAAACCTGGGCAATTTGAACATCAACAATAAAAAAGGTAAATGACTTACAGCACAT